GAATTTGGGATTTGCGAATTTGGGATTTGGGGAATTTGGGATTTGGGGAATTTGGGATTTGGGGAATTTGGGATTTGGGGAATTTGGGATTTGGGGAATTTGGGATTTGGGGAATTTGGGATTTGGGGAATTTGGGATTTGGGGAATTTGGGATTTGGGGAATTTGGGATTTGGGGAATTTGGGATTTGGGGAATTTGGGATTTGGGGAATTTGGGATTTGGGGAATTTGGGATTTGGGGAATTTGGGATTTGGGAAATTTGGGATTTGGGGAATTTGGGATTTGGGGAATTTGGTATTTGGAGAATTTGGGATTTGGGAAATTTGGAATCTGGGGAATTTGGGATTTGGGGAATTTGGAATTTGGGGAATTTGGAATATGGGGAATTTGGGATTTGGGGAATTTGAAATCTAGGGAATTTTGAATCTAGGGAATTTTGAATTTAGGAAAAATCTGAAAATCTATAACTCTAATTTATTAAACTGAAACTCAGTGCACAATTTACTGAATCTTCCAATGCAACTTCCAATAACTTCAAAAGCTATATACCAAAATATCCTCCCCCTTCCAATCTCCATCACATAAATAACAAGACTACCCATGTTTCTAAATAACGTTCTAAAGTTTTCACCCCCAGCAGGAAAACGAATAATCGAGTTCCACCGAGGAAAAAGAAGAGCAAGGGTAGAAAATGTAATTTTCCCCGGTTCGATAGAATTACCACCCCCGATGACGAGTCCCAATGGTATTGTTCGCGGTAGAAACGCGGAGGAAGGACACTTTTCCCGTCATAACGAGGCGGATCAACATCTGCATCCGTTTCGGTCCATTTGTCGATTTCGAGTGTGACTCTGGCCTCCATTATGTGACATTCGGCCCGGGAGAGTGTCCTTGCCCCACTTTCTGACGGAGGGGTGGAACTACACCTGGAAGGGGTGGTACTATAACTAGGAGGGGTTGTAGGGCATCGGAGGGGCTGTTTTTGCTCTTGCTCTGATCGTGTATTGTATAGGTGGCAGTTAATCTGTGGAATGGAGATTTATCTCTCTGTTGTATTATTTTGGGATTATTATCATTTCAGGAAGTCATAAGTTAAAAATGAATAATTATTAGTAATGGGGAATTAGGTAACTATGGTGAAATCTTAAGATCTTCAATTTTCGTAAATTTTCAAATTTAAAATAAATTTTTCAAGTTCAAAAATAATTTTTCAAATTGAAAATACATTTTTCAAGTTCAAAAATAATTTTTCGAATTCAAAATAAATTTTTCAAGATCAAAAATAATTTTTCAAATTGAAAATACATTTTTCAAATTCAAAAATAATTTTTCAAATTCAAAATAAATTTTTCAAGATCAAAAATAATTTTTCAAATTGAAAATACATTTTTCAAGTTCAAAAATAATTTTTCAAATTCAAAATAAATTTTTCAAGTTCAAAATTAATTTTTCAAATTCAAAAATTTTTAAATGTACAAATTTAAAAATTCTCCAAATACGTCAACCATTAATTTATTAAACTTGCAAATCCCTAAACTTGTAAATTTCAAAATCCTTAAAGTTTCAAATTGTCAAATTAGTAAAGGCGGATTTGAATAAATGAATGATAATTGATAGCTTACCAGGTATACAGGCATATTTTATTCGCAAAGTGGCTGGATACCATTGGACAGTGCCTGCATGATCAGTGGGGAAGTTGTAACGACAATGGACTTGTCCGGAACATCTAAACAGAACAATATAAAAATAGCCACGATAGTAAATATTCATCTGCACGAGTCTCCTTTAAATCTTTCTATAAATAAACAGACTGAAATAATGTCGGATGACAAATTTCAAAATATGATATAAAATATTCTGCTGGATATCATTGTTTCTAAATTCCAAATTCCCTAGATCAAAAATTCCCTAGATTCCAAATTCCCGAATCCAAAATTTCCTAGATTCCAAATTCCCCAAATTCCAAATTCCCCAAATCCCCCAGATTCCAAATTCCCCAAGAAATTCCTCAAATCCCAAATTCCCCAAATCCCAAATTCCTCAAATCCCAAATTCCCCAAATCCCAAATTCCTCAAATCCCAAATTCCCCAAATCCCAAATTCCTCAAATCCCCCAAATTCCAAATTCCAAATTCCCCAAATCCCAAATTCCCCAAATTCCACCTTCTCCAATTC